AGGACAGGCTGGCCGACGACCCACGAGCGTGCAGAACGCCTTCCAGAACTGGGACAAGAACTGAGGACCCCGGTCAGAGGCCATGTCCACCGGAAGTCCATGGATTCGGAAGACGTGCTGCACCATGAGCTGGGCCGTCTCCTTGGCTGAGGGTAGCTTGGGGAGAAGAATTAAATGGTTGTAATTCCTTTCTGTGGGGTTGAGACGATGGGAGAGGAAAGCGCAGGGATGCAGCTTTTGGTCTTGTGCCGAACGCTGGGACAGGACAGCCTCCACACCGTCGTCCGAGGTGTCGACCTCCACCACGAACTACCGGGACGGATCTGGATGGATTAGGATGGGGCGGTAGTGAATTGTTGCTTGAGGTCCAAGAACTCCTGGTCTGCAGCTGGAGACCACGTAAACGGGACCTTGGGAGAGGTGACCGCTAACAGGGGGGAAGCCCTGATGCTGTAGCCCGGGATGAACTGGCGGTAGAAATTGGCAAACCCCTGGAAGCGTTGCAGCTGCACTCTGGAGGTGGGTTGCGGCCAATCCACCACCGCTCTCACCTTTTCAGGATCCATCTGTATGTTGCCTGCAGCTATGATGTATCCAAGGAAGGAGATGGTGGAGCGATGGAATAGCATTTTTCCTCTTTGATGAACAGCTGGTTCTCCAGAAGACGCTGGAGAACGTGGGAAAACACTAGGATGTCATCAAGGTAGACGAATAGGAACCGGTTCAACATGTGCCTGAGAACGTTGTTTACAAGGGCCTGGAACACAGCAGGAGTGTTGGTCAGTCCGAACGGCATCACCAGGTATTCGCAGTGCCCGCTAGCCGTGTTAAAGGTGGTTTTCCACTCATCCCCTTCCCGTAGCCGTACCAGATGGAAGGCGTTCCGGAGGTCCAACTTGAAGATGGTAGCCCCCTGGAGAGGCTCGAAAGCCGAGGCGATGAGTGGAAGCGGTTAACGGTTTTTAACCGTGATGTCATTCAGGCCCCGGTAGTCGATACACGGACGCAGGATTTTGTCCTTCTTCTCCACAAAAATAACCCTCTGCCGGCAGGGGAGGCAGAAGGACGGATACCTCCTGCAGCCAGGGAGTGCTCAATATACGTCTCCATTGCCTTGGTCTCCGGACCTGACAGGGAATAAAGCCGCCCCCGAGGCGGTGTAGTGCCCGGGAGAAGGTTGATGGCGGTCATAGGGCCGATGCGGAGGAAGCGAGGTGGCACGGGCCTTGCAGAAAACCTCCCGGATGGTCCTGGTGCTCCGCGGGAACGGCGGAGAGGTTAGGGGGTTTTCCCAAGCCCACAGGAAGACGTCCCAGGGCATGCAGCGCCGACTTCAAGCAATGCGCATGGCAAAACGGGCTCCAACCCAGGATAGAACCAGTAGCCCAGTCGATCAGAGGATTGTGCCTCTGGAGCCAGGAAAACCCCAAAGCCACGGGTGCATGAGGGATTCAATGGGCAGGAACTGCATAGACTCACTGTGATTACCCGACACTCTCAGGTTAATGGGAAACGTAGTGTGGGTGACTCTGCCAATAGAGCGTCCATTCAACGCTCTGACGTCCATGGGAGTGGAGAGGGGTTGTGTGGCGATTCCCAGCTCCGACACCAGGATAGCGTCCATAAAGCTCTCGTCGGCCCCAGAGTCAATGAGCACTCGGAGAGATTTGGACTGGTCACCCCACAACAGGGTAGCATGGAGAGGAGTACGAGAAATGTAAGATGGGAAACTCCCTGTACGGCTCACCAGCGTACTAGTACCTACTTGATGAGCCTGGTTCTTTAATGGGCAGGTAGATAAAAACATTTCCCATAGCTCCACAATACAGACAGCTCTGGGTGTTAAGTCTGCGTAAGCGCTCAGCAGGAGACAATCTAGCCCTGCCCAGTTGCATGGGCTCTGGAGGAGACGACTCGACAGCCCTCAGTGACCTCCGTGAGAACTCTGGCGACATCGGATCCACTCGGAAATGTGGACTTCGTGGATTTCCGGGATTCCTTGGAGGAGAGGTGGAAATCAAGGACAAGCGTCGGCGACAGGGAACAGACTCCCTCTCCCTCCTACGTTCCCATGGCCGCCCATCGATCCGGATGGTCAAGGCTATGAAGGAGTCGAGGTCCAGGGGCAGCTCCCGGGCTGTGAGCTCGTCTTTAATCACCTCCGATAATCCGTGAAGGAACACGTTGAACAGGGCTTCCGGGTTCCAGGCACTCTCACCCGCCAACGTGCGAATATCCAGTCTGGGGGGTTACTCTAGTGGCGTGCTGCCTCACAGACAATCCGCAGAATTGCTCCTGCAATGTGTTGAAGGCACGGTCCTGGCATTCCGCCAAGGTCTGGAATCCTTCCATAAGACCTTGAAGTAACTCCTCGTGTCTTCCAATGGTGGCTCCCTGGGAGGAGACGGCGTTGCGGAGCTGGTCCGAGTCTGCTGGGTCAGTCAAGGCCAGTTCGTACTATCACGACTCAGGATAAGACCCAGATACAGACAGTTTGAAATAGCAAAAGTTTATTTACAAAAACAGGGGGCAGGCAAACGACAGGTCAAGGGCAGGCAGTGGTCAGTAATCCAGAGCAGAGTCCGAAAGGTACAGAAACGGCAGGCTCAGGGACGGGGCAGGCCGAGGTCGGTAATCCAGAACAGTGTCACAAGGTACAGAACGGCAGGCATGCTCAGGGTCAGGACAGGCAGAATGGTCAAAACCGGGGAAAATGGGCTAGAGCAAAGTACGGGAAAAACACTGGTAGGCTTGACGAGACAGGACGAACTGGCAACAGACAAACAGAGAACACAGGTATAAATACACAGGGGATAATGGGGAAGATGGGCAACACCTGGAGTGAGACAGCTACTGATGATTCATAGACACTGTAGGCTAGGTCTAGATGGCCAATATCCCTCTCTCTCTTTTACACCTTTTATGTCACATCTTGGATGTGACTGCTAAAACCAGTTTTGACAGTGTGAAGTCCGCTTGCTCTCTCTTGCTCTCTGACTGAAGCTCTTTGGGGGGCTTCGAATTAGAGATGGCCTGGCCAGTACTCACAGGACGTGATTATTTCTATATAGGCTAGGCTGTGTTCAGTGGCTTACTTACATGACTGTGGTGTGTGCGTACATGGTTGTGTACAAAATCAAATAGATGTAGAGTCTGTGGTCTAAACTAGAGACAAAGCTCCTGCCCAACCTCATCATTTTCCCAAGGTTAACAAACAGGGTGTACTTTTTACATATTTCAGTGATATGTTTGGATGACAGACTAACACATACTTGTGTTGGTGAGGAACAGGAACAAAGCCTTTCCTAACCCTCAGTCAGACATACTGTATGTCATGTTAAGAAGATAAGTGTTTAACGCTACAGTAGAAGATAACAAATGAGGCTATTTCTGCTCTCTGACTGCTCTCTAACCAAGTATTGTTGTCAGCACTGTCTGTCTCTCTGTCATGCAATGTGTCATCTACCGGGCTGAGAGAAGACCGGGAGGGAGGAGGAGGAAGAAGAAGAGGAAGAGAGAGAAAGGCTGACTTCATCATTTAAATGCGAGGAGGACTGGGCAGGCCACCAGAGGAAATGTGTCACTGGTGGGAGAGCTGGAGTGGGGAGGAGGACTTGGGGGAGGCATGTAGTTAGCTGTCTGACGAAATATAGGAGTAGCAGATGCGCACCTCTCCATTCTCTGCTCTGTGTTAGGAAGCAGTGGACTGCTTCCCAGATGGCACCCTATTCCCTACATAGTGCACTACTTTTGACCAGGGCCCATGAGGGATATTCGTGCCATTTGGGACAAAGCCTAGGTCTGTTCTGAATAGACATAGTCCAATAGGAATGTTGGCCATAATCAAGCCTGTTTCCTAGGTGTTGTCAAATGCAGACCTCTTATGGCGACAAAGATTAGAAGAATTCAGTTGATGATTACTTTTTATTCTCCTGTCTTTTGTTCAGCGCCAATGGTGGTAGTTGTTGGTGGAGTGTTGCATTAGTGGCCAGGCCTATTTGTGTTAAATGTGATTAAGCTGCACAAGCTTAGACAATGTCTTCATTTAAGTGCTGCTGAAAATGCAATGACTTTGTTATGACTCTGGGGTGTAGAGCTCCTTATCTAAAGATTACCTGACTAGATATTCACGTCCCTGTCACTCTCTGACTACCTTTGGCATGCTTAAACAGCAGATGTCTATCCATGCAATAAATAAAACTTTCTTTGTTCGTGTTGTGCTGAATGCATTACACACGTCTCAAAACTCCTCATGATATAACCGAGTATAATCTCTTGGTCTCACGAAACTGATGTTCTCACCGTACAAACGTCCTCACACTTAAAACCCTGTTACCTCCTGTCAAATGCTTTACCACCACAACTTTCTACTACAGCTGTTTGAAGAAAGGTATACCATATGAGATTTGCTTCACTAGATCCATGTTCAGTAGTTTGAATTAACCACTCTGTTTTGTCTCCTTTCAGATGGATCTGAGGCTACTTTCAATAGCAACATTATTAGGAATCCTATGTTTCTGCAGTGCACAGCAAGGTAAGGTTATTTGACTTACACAAGACATATTGTTTTAGGCCTACATTTACTTTTTTGTTATGCACCTAAAACATTTATCTGCACCTATCTGTCCACTTTGTGCATCAAAAAGCAATGAAAAGAAGACATTCTTCAGGTTACGATAGTGTGGTAGAGGAGGCAGGTTGTCCTAATGGGATGGTGTCATGTATTTAAGAAACTGCCTACAGCTGCCAGCTATCTGGCTTCAGCAACATGACTCGCAATTGAATAGATTGGAAGAAATGAAATACCATGTTGAGCCAGCAAGAGAGGAAAAATTTAGTTACAAAATGAATATGTCCCAAATGGCACCCTATTCACTATGTAGTGCACTACTTTTTGACCATAGTAAACCAAAGTAGTGCACTATATAGGGAATAGGGTGCCATTTGCAATGCAAACTTTCTGAATGCTGCCTCTTGGCAAATAGTTGTGGCTGTATTACATTTTTTTTTATTGTTTCTTCCTTTCAGAGGGCAGTGATTGCATCAAGGCCAATGCACAGTCATGTGGAGAATGCATCCAGGTCGCAGAGAAATGTGGATGGTGTACAGACACTGTAAGTGTGTCTTTGATTAAGTTGTTTGAATGCACATGCTCGCAGAGGCACAATCTTGAGACTTATCTCACTGGAAGCAGCTAACACAAGTGTTTGTATTTGGAGTTGAACAATGGCAGGGATATGATTCGAATACCAGTGTATGGGCACTTGCTGTGAAATAGTTGGGTGGGTGGGGGGAGGGAGGTGCCGCCAGCTCAGATTATAGTCATACAGAGCTGTCTTGAGTCACGGAACAGAACACACCCTGACGCTTCCTGTGGTTTAATGGAGGTTGGCATCTAATATGTTGCATTACCACTGCCAACTGAACTATAGATCCATTACACTTTGTGATACAAAATGGGAAAGGGGAACCCCCAAAAAGTATTATATACAGTACCAGTCAAAAGTTTGGACACACCTACTCATTCCAGGGTTTTTCTTTATTTTTGCTATTTTCTACATTGTACAATAATAGTGAAGACATCAAAACTATGAAATAACACATATGGAATCATGTAGTAACCAAAAAAGTGTTAAACAAATCCAAATATATTTTATATTTGAGATTCTTCAAAGTAGCCACCCTTTGCCTTGATGACAGCTTTGCACACTCTTGGCATTCAACCAGCTTCATGAGGTAGTCACCTGGAATGCATTTCAATTAACAGGTGTCCCTTGTTAAAAGTTAATTTGTGGAATTTCTTTCCTTCTTAATGCGTTTGAGCCAATCAGTTGTGTTGTGACAAGGTAGGGGGGGTATACATAAAATAGCCCTATTTGGTAAAAAAAAACAAGTCCATATTATGGCAAGAACAGCTCAAATAAGCAAAGAGAAATGACAGTCCATCATTACTTTAAGACATGAAGTTCAGTCAATCCGGAAAAGTTTCTTCAAGTGCAGTCGCAAATACCATCATGAGGACCGCCAAGAGTGTGCAAAGCTGTCATCAAGGCAAAGGGTGGCTACTTTGAAGAATCTCAAATATAAAATATATTTGGATTTGTTTAACGCTTTTTTGGTTACTACATGATTCCATATGTGTTATTTCATAGTTTTGATGTCTTCACTATTATTCTACAATGTAGAAAATAGTAAAAATATGAATGAGTAGGTGTGTCCAAACTTTTGACTGGTACTGTATATTATTATCCTACCAACTAACCCTATACTCATTAAAACTCATCACCTTATTCCACTACTTTAACCCTCTCTGATCCTACCCCAGGCCAACGGCCTGAGAGGACGGGACACTACCATTCAACACACGCTGTAACTCTTCTGAAGTAAAATCTCATACCCCGGGCCTCCCAAGCGTCGCAGCAGTCTAAGGCACTGCATCGCAGTGCTTGAGGCGTCACTACAGACCCAGGTTCAATCCCAGGCTGTATTGCATCCTGCTGCGACCGGGAGACCTATGAGGCGGCACACAATTGGCCCAGTGTCGTCCGGGTTAGGGGAGGGTTTGGCCGGCCGGGATGTCCTTGTCCCATCGCGCTATAGTTACTCCATGTGGCGGGCCGGGCGCATGCACGCTGACTTCGGACTTCGGTGTTTCCTCCGACACATTGGTCCGGCTGGCTTATAAGCAGTGTGTCAAGAAGCAGTGCGGCCTGGCAGTGCGGCCCGACCTTTGCCTCTCCCGAGTCCGTATGGCATATGTAGCAATGGGACAAGACAGTAACTACCAATTGGAGGGGTAAAAAAAAAAAAATGTATCTCGTACCCCCAAGTACTTCTCTTTAGCTGCCCCCACAACATCTATTTTCTGTGACTTACCTTCCATATCTGCGGTACAGTTGATAACCATTGATATGAACACTAAGAAGCCAACCTTACTGAAACGTACACTATATATACAAATGTATGTGGACACCCCTTCAAATTATTGGATTCGGCCATTTCAGCCACACCCGTTGCTGACAGGTGTATAAAATCGAGCACACATCCATCCAATCTCCATAGACAAACATTGGCAGTAGAATGCCCTTACTGAAGAGCTCAGTGACTTTCAACGTGGCACCTTCATAGGTTGCCACCTTTCCAACAAGTCAGTTCGTCAAATTTCTGCCCTGCTAGGGCTGCCCCGGTCAACTGTAAGTGCTGTTGTGATGTGGAAACGTCTAGGAGCAACAACGGCGCGAAGTGGTAAAAATCGTCTGTCCTCAGTTGCAACACTCACTACCAAGTTCCAAACTGCCTCTGGAGGCAACGTCAGCACAATAACTTTTCTTCGGGAGCTTCATGAAATGGGTTTCCATGGCCAAGAAGCTGCACACAAGCCTAAGATCACCATGCGCAATGCCAAGCACCGGCTGGAGTGGTGTAAAGGTCCCGCCATTGGACTCTTGAGCAGTGGAAATGTGTTCTCTGCAGTGATGAATCACGATTTGGTAGTCCGACGGATGAATCTGGGTTTGGCGGATGCCAGGAGAACGCTACCTGCCCCAATGCATAGTGCCAACTGTAAAGTTTGGTGGAGGAGGAATAATGGTCTGGAGCTGTTTTTCATGGTTTGGGCTAGGCCCCTTTGTTCCAGTGAAGGGAAATCTTAACGCTACAGCATACAATGACATTCTAGACGATTCTGTGCTTCCAACTTTGTGGCAACAGTTTGGGGAAGGCCCTTTCCTGTTTCAGCATGACAATGCCCCCGTGCACAAAGCGATGTCCGTACAGAAATGGTTTGTCGAGATCGGTGTGGAATACCTTGACTTGCCTGCACAGAGCCCTGACCTCAACCCCATCAAACACCTTTGGGAGGAATTGGAACGCCGACTGCGAGCCAGGCCTAATCGCCCAACATCAGTGCCCGACCTCACTAATGCTCTTGTAGCTGAATGGAAGCAAGTCCCTGCAGCAATGTTCCAACATCTAGTGGAAAGCTTTCCCAGAAGAGTGGAGGCTGTTGTAGCAGCAAAGGGAGGACTAACTCCATATTAATGCCCATGATTTCGTAATGAGATGTTCGACGAGCAGGTGTCCACATACTTTTGGTCATGTAGTGTATATCACTCATTGGCCTATCCCTCTGTTCTGGCACATATCTACTATTCACAGGGATCCTCTCAGAATCCCTCACCCTTGATCCACCCTCCTCTACTTTATTCACTGCCTTAGCATACGACATCTTCTGCACTACTCTGAGGCTGGCCACCTCAACCTGCCTCTCTCGCACCGGACACCTCCGATCCCCAGCAACATGAGCACCCCTAAAGTTGACACACACATCTTTTCCCACCAAAACTACACATTCCTCTGTCCCATGTCCTCCTGCACACTTCCCACATCTTAGAATCTCCCTACTACACACTGCTGCTACATGCCCATAAACGTGACACCTATAACACCGCAGTGGATTCGGCACAAAAGCTCTAACAGCATAACTCATATAACCTAACAAATTACTTTGTCAGGTAAAGACTCTAAATCAAAGTTCAAAAGAGCAGGCTGTCACATCTGTTTCACCACGCTCTCCACCGGGTCTGAGTCGCACCAAACAGCGGGTGTCACAAACACCAGGAATCTTCAACTTCAATTGCTCCACCTCCACATTTAACGCTACCCCAGAAATCACTCCCTTCAATGGTGCCCTGTACATAAGCGCAAAGCAAGATACAGGTCTTTCCCCAAGTTGCGTCACATGGAGCACCTGCTCCCTCTGATCTGAAGAAACACAAACAAACATGACAATCCACTTTGGGTTACCTTCACCGACTCAACAGCACCCACCGTATATTCCATCCAACCTGAAACCACCCTCTTCAAAAATCTCACTTCCACTGGATCAAACGTATCTTTATCATAACCATGTCCATCAAAACAAAGGCTCGGCCTCCGAGCTCCTCACAACACCTCTACCCCTTCGATTTCACCTCCAGAACTCGAACTGGCGTCCGGCTCACTCTGTTTGAACTTGACACCAATCTTCCTCAACATATTATTGCTAGCTTCAACAGATTCAAGCATATCCTCTGCCTCCCTCAGTCTTTTCAACCTCCTCTCTCTTTCCCTCCAATCCTCCTCCCTTAACAAATTACCAAACTCCTTCTGAAAATATTCAACTTTTCCAAGCCAGAATCTATTTTTAGCCTCTTCGAGAGACATTCTAAGCTCTGTACTCCCTCCACTTCCAGTCTGACCGAACTTGTTCCTTCTTCATACTGCAAAATCATCAGATATGTCATATCAGAATGAGTGCTTCATCACGTGTATGTTGACTATTGTGAAAACCAATCAAAAATCAATACATTAACATAAAAAATAAGAAAATGTGGGTTATTTGTCAACTTTAATTAAATGTTTTGTCTTTCTCTGTGCAGGACTTCCTGAAGCAGGGAGAGTCTAAGTCAGCCCGCTGTGATGAGCTGAAGTCCCTGATCATGAAGGGCTGCACTAAGGCCAAGATCGAGAACCCCCGGGGCAGCACCTCCATCAACAAGAACAAGCCTGTCACCAACCGCAAGAAGGACGTGGCCGAGAAGCTGAAGCCTGACCAGATCACTCAGATCCAGCCCCAGAAACTCACCCTCAACCTCCGATCCGGTAAAGACCTGACTCCTGACCTGTGCTGATATAGGATCAGTTTGACCTTTTAGATCATAATGAATAAGATGGACATGGAGGACCTGATCCTCGGTCAGCACTCCTACTCTAAGAGGTTTTGTGAATATGGGCCCTGCCTCCTGATCTGACCAGCTCAGCGGCCATGTAGCTATATGATACTTTATGTAAACAGGGCATATTATAATATGCAATCTTTCTTGAAGTTACCATTAACATGCAGTCAATTTCTGAATCCAAGTTTTCAGGCAGAATCCTGTTGATGTTTGTAACATATTGAATGATGAAGAGTCTTCATGTTCTCTGAATCTATTCCATTCCTTTCTCACCATGCAGGTGAGGCCCAGACCTTTAAGTTGAAGTTCAAGAGGGCAGAGGACTACCCCATCGACCTCTACTACTTGATGGACCTCTCCTTCTCCATGAGAGACGATTTGGAGAATGTCAAGAATCTGGGGACTGACCTGATGCGTGAGATGAAGGAGGTCACCTCAGACTTCAAGATCGGTAAAATACTTCACATACTCAAAATGTTCAGAGTAAGGTCACTCAGAAAGACGGAAGGTACAACCGCTCATTGGGTACTTCACTGTGGCTACCCTCTGTTCCAACCTGTGTTTGTGTATTTTGTAAGGGGTTGGGATCAGAGCAAAATATGGATTTCAATGGACTGCAAGGAAAATGGATCAATAAAGTATTCTTGTTGTTATTGTTCTTCTTCTCAACCTTGGCTGTTTTCCTGACCAGGTTTCGGCTCCTTTGTGGAGAAGACGGTGATGCCATACATCAGCACCACCCCAGCCAGACTGTTGAACCCCTGCCCCAGCAACGAGAACTGCACCAGCCCCTTCAGCTATAAGAACGTGCTGAAGCTGACTGAGAACGGGGAGGAGTTCAACAGCCTGGTCAGTAAGCAGCAGATCTCTGGAAATCTGGACTCCCCTGAGGGAGGCTTCGATGCCATCATGCAGGTGGCCGTCTGTGGGGTGAGTGACCTGACCTGGGGCATAGTGGGATAGTCTCACTTCATGGCCTGTAGTCATAAAGCATCTTAAGTAGGAGTACTGATCTAGGATCAGTTTAGCCTTTTTGACCATGATGAATAAGATTACATGGACGGGGGGTCCTGATCCTAGATCAGCACTTCTAATCGAATACACTTTATAAACACCAGCCCAGAAGTACAGAAAGCTTCCAAATTGGCTAGAATGGTTAATGATTGAGATAGGTAGCTTAGTGGTTCAGGGGGAGGCAGGTAGCTTAGTGGTTAAGAGCGTTGTGCCAGTAACCGAAAGGTCGCTGGTTCTAATCCCCGAGCCAACTAGGTGAAAAATCTGTCGATGTGCCCTTGAGCAACGCACTTAACCCTACTTGCTCTGGATAAGAGCGTCTGCTAAATGACTAAAATGTAAATAATACCAGTCAGTCCAAAGCATTACAACAAAGAATTATGATTCATTGATAAAGTTGGATACATTTGTTTTCTTTTGGGGGCTCTAATTGGTTGTGTTTTTGCCCCTCCCCCTGCAGGATGCCATTGGCTGGAGGGACGTCACTCGTCTGCTGGTGTTCTCCACTGACGCTGGCTTCCACTTTGCTGGAGACGGCAAGCTGGGCGGCATCGTTCTGCCCAACGACGGGAAGTGTCATCTGGAGAACAACATGTACACTATGAGCCATTACTACGTATGTGTTTCTCTATATACTCTATACTTTCCAGCCATTTTATATTGCATTTGTTTTATTATAGTGGATTGATTGTGTGTATTTGGTATGCTGACCATGGACAATAAAGTTTAGGGCTGACCCCATTTAGTCGACTGGTGGATTGTTGGGTCAATAGGCTGTTGGTCGACCGACATTTCTTTAGTCGAGCAGTAGCAAAAAAAAAAATAGTAATATCATGGTGTACAAGACACCTGTCGGATTCGCAACTGTCTGAGTGGACTGATCTATTGTGGAGGCCGTGGGGATGGTACAGTCCATCACTCTAAGACATGTGCTACTGAAATTGTATATGGTTATATTACATATGAACAATGGTGCAACACTAATAAAAATAATATTATTTTATAACAAATGTGCTTTCTCCCGCGTTGGATAGTGATCACTCTCCGCGGTTCAGAAACACTTCAGTTGTTGCTATGTGCATAATAGCTAAGTTAACCAGCATATTGGTGTTGAGAACAATGCAGAGGAGGCAGCAGCAGAACGAGGAGATGAGAAAACAGCCATTTACATTTACATTTTAGTCATTTAGCAGACGCTCTTATCCAGAGCGACTTTACAGTTAGTTCATACATTTTTTGTTTTTTTCATACAGCCCTTGCCTTATTGTCTAAGAAAAGTGAGGAGAGAGGAAACCCCAACTTAATTAGGTCTATAATCAATAGCCTAACTGTTAATTGTGCCTGGCTTTATAAATCATCAATATATCTACAGAAGTAAGACAGATCCTGCTTCTGTTTCCTGTTTGATTGAGTGTTTAATAGCCTACTGATTCTGTGAGCACCAAGCCTCACGCAATGACATGTCAAGTAAACGATTCGGCTGTATTTAATCTTTGCTTTGCTGTTATAAAGGATTTACACTTTTTTTTCGTTAGAACAGCCGCTGGTATTATTTATAATTTCTTTAGTGTTTACACTGTTCCAAATTGTCCGTAAAAATATATTTATAATAATAATAATAATAACACTCCTTTTTCTTGATCTTCTTCTTATTGTTATTATTACTATTATTATTATGATCATCATTATAATAATAAGTCATGTCATGATCATTAGGAGGCTTAGTATAGAAGCCTTGTATAACCACCATCGAGCTGTAGGCCTAAGAGCGCATCCTGTTTAGTCTTAATACCGTAACTTACTTAGGCCTATATTTCAATACTTATATAGGCTACTGTATCAATCAATAATTCATTCGTTCATGTCATCACACAGCATACGAGTCATTCATTATTTGAAATGCAATCAAAGCATTTTAGCTTTAAAATAAAATAAAGCCAGCCTCGAATAATTAGCTTAAAAAATAAACCGTTCCATTTCGGAAAATGCATTCACGAATGAATGTGACAATTTTTTGTCTTTGCTGTAATAAAGGCTTAGCAAAAAAAACTTTACAACAGACTCTCTGGTACGCTTATAATTTATTTAGTGTTGTTTACATTATTCCAAATGGTCAGAAACATTATTGTAATCTATACAGCACCTGTTTGGCACACATAATATGCACGCAGAGCTTGCTCCTTACCTTATTTTTCTTGATCTCCAGTATTTTCCACAACTAGTCAAATTTATTCCACACATCTGACTTTCCCTTTACCTCCTGAGCAACCAGTAAACATTCTCCCATTTCGAGTTTATTTGCCACGTCCTCTGCATCCAACCAATTTATTGATGTGATTATGATATGCTATAGGTCAGGCCCTATTGTGTCCTATTTGGACGAGATTCGTTTTACTGGGGGAGGTTGGTTAATGTCATTATGTGCACAAGCATAAAACACAGCATCTGTCATTTTAGTCCCGTCCAAATCTGCCATGTCAGTAATTTTTACATGGCAGGAGAGTAACAATTCCAGCCAGAATAACCTACTCCAAGGTCCTCTGATAATACTAGTCCAGTATGAATCGACATCCCTGTGTTTTGAGAGAAATGTTGGAGTTTGACAGGTGTCGCTTGCAGTTTTTACAAGAAAATAACTGATTCGATAAATTGAACTAAGTGCTGCGCAAAAGCTTTATATGAATGGCCTACATGTAGCCTATCAACTTTCACAGTGAATGCTTTTGTTTTAATTTTAGTGAGTATGAATTGAATATTGCCAAATGCATCAGTAAAAAATATTGAGCCTATTTAATGCAACCCTTGCTGTTAATAGATCGCAAAGCAGCATACAACTGACCTAAACGTTTGGAAATGATAAGTTAACTTTCTCATCCATAGCCTTAAAACACATCTCAAGTGCAATTGCACTGTTTAGCTCACATCTGAAGGCTGGGGGGCATTCAGGACGTACTGCGGAGCTCTAAAATATCCTAATGATTATGATCACACTTCCTCAATTCAATTCAAATATTATGGCAGCACTATACATTTACATTACATTTTTGTCATTTAGCAGACGCTCTTATCCAGAGCGACTTACAATTAGTGAGTGCATACATTATTTTTATTTTTTTCATACTGGCCCCCCGTGGGAATCGAACCCACAACCCTGGCGTTGCAAACGCCATGCTCTACCAACTGAGCTACATCCCTGCCGGCCATTCCCTCCCCTACCCTGGACGATGCTGGGCCAATTGTGCGCCGCCCCATGGGTCTCCCGGTCGCGGCCGGCTACGACAGAGCCTGGATTCGAACCAGGATCTCTAGTGGCACAGCTAGCACTGCGATGCAGTGCCTTAGACCAAGCTCTAGTTATCAGTGTGGCCCTATCACCTGGACATGTTGAAATACTGTATATTCACGCCTAGAATAAAAACCTCCAGGCTTCCGTCATAACCGTCATAACTGTCAATTTATTGGAAATAATAAGAATTACAAAGGGGAGTTTGGAAAACACATTCTGGAGTAATAATTACATAACCAACTTTCTCTAGTAATACTAGTCCCATGCGAATAGGTCTTTGGTCACGTGCATGCGATGCATAGTCTACATGTGTCACGTAAAGAGAGCAAGGGTTGAGGGATTAGGGAATGTTTTTCCTAAACAAATGAGGGATTTCGGTAACAGAACCTTTCAGTCAGAAATGGCTGTAATTATGTTGCAGCTTCAGCAACATGGACAGCGCTATAAACACTTTGATGTTCTGTGGTGGTCGCTGCAGCAGGGAGGAGACAATGGGTGCTAGTCACACAGTCACTCGCTGTCTTTTTTTTTTAGGCTCCATCTAGTCATTTGTGTGTCTTAATTGTTTAATCAAACAGTGTGCTTAAAGCATCAGACAAGCTCAGTGAATATAGTTGATTTGATTAAAACACATAAGATGTGTCAATATATGGAAAAATACACGTTTAAAAATATCAACCAATCGATCGAAAAAACAGACAACTCTTGGTCGATCAAGATTTTTTAGGGTACAGCCCTAATAAAGTTATCGTATCATATATGGCAGGGATTGGCAACAGGCGGCCAGCGGGCCAAAACCGCCCCGCAAGGGATCTTTTTGGGGGGCTCCCCAACGTTTTTAGTAAAACAGTTTGTTTTTGGTCAAAAAAGACTGAAATCATCAGGAATTCAGCTAAAAATTAGTTGAATTTAGGAAATCTGTTCCCAAAGATTCCCGCGAATAAAAAAAGAGACATGATCGTGTCTCAATGTAATCAAGGTATGAAATTATTGTTATTTTCAAATACATCTTGCATTTATTTTCAATTGACAGGACTATCCCTCCATTGCCCATTTGGTCCAGAAACTGAGCGACAACAACATTCAGACAATTTTTGCGGTTACTGAGGAATTCCAGCCTGTTTACAAGGAACTGAAGAACCTCATCCCCAAGTCTGCAGTAGGAACTCTGTCCTCCAACTCCAGCAACGTCATCAAGCTCATTATCGATTCCTACAACGTGAGTTTAACCCCCTAGCTTTGACACTAGCATTGACTTGAAATGGCTGTTTGATTTTAAAGCTAATAATTACTGTGCAGAAAATAAATACCTGGGATGGTTCCCAAATGGGACCCTATTCCCTATATAGTGCACTGCTGTTCTTCTATTGACATATTTTGTTGAAATTCTGTGTATGTTATTTGATAGTTTCTGTCATCTGAAGACCTTCTCTGTATGTTGTTTGCAGTGCTTGACTTGGACTGAAATAAGTGGCGGTACTCATTTTGGATGCCGGTACTGTTTATATTTAGGTGCAGGAGCTTCACAATACTTTTGATCAAATATTCTATAAGAGGAACAGAAGCTCAAGCAGTAGAACATTTGAGGTGCTGGTACTCCGCTCCGGTGAGCTCCTGCCCAAGTCAAGCACTGGTTGTTTGATAGTCTCTGTCATCTGAAGATATTCTCTGTATGTCGTGTGATAGTCTCTGTCATCTGAAGTCATTCTGGAAAACAGCAAGCTGCCTGAAGGTGTATCCATAACATACAAGTCCATCTGCAAGAACGGTTGGTTTGGAACAGGAGAGAATGGAAGAAAATGCTCTAACATCTCCATTGGAGATGAGGTAAGTGTGAGCGAGCGCAGCCTTTCCGTAGTGGTCTGGTCTCTATTGAAATAGGGGTTGAGAATAAAAATGTGTCAATGTATTACATCTGGAAAAATGTGTAAACCATCCAAGACATTTTAGGAGTTTACTAATGAAAAACAAGAAGAGGAAATATCATTGAGACTGTTTATTGTCAACGTTTCCGCTCAAGAGGCCTTTCTCAATACCAGTGTCCAGGAGTTTACTAAAGGGCGATTCCAGCTGTTGAGGAAAACTCGTTCCAAGGATCAGGCAGAGCTCATTATCCAGTTAATAAGAGTTTATTCAAGCAATTGCAAGGGAGATTACACTCAGGATATATCTGAGAGGAAACTCAAAGTTACAGAGTCACACACAGTCATTATATACAGTACCAGTCAAAAGTTTGGACACACCTACTCATTCAAGGCTTTTTCTTTATTTTTTCCTTTGTTCTACATTGTAGAATAATAGTGAAGACATCAAAACTATGAAATAACACATATGGAATCATATAGTAACCAAAAAAGTGTTAAACAAATCAAAATATATTTTATATTTGAGATTCTTCAAAGTAGCCACCCTTTGTCTTGATGACAACTTTGCACACTCCTGGCATTCTCTCACACTGGCTTCATGAGGTAGTTACCTGGAATGCATTTAAATTAACAGGTGTGCCTTGTTAAAAGTTAATTTGTGGAATTTCTTTCCTTCTTAATGCACTTGAGCCAATCAGTTGTGTTGTGACAAGGTAGTATACAAATAGCCCTATTTGGTAAAAGACCAAGTCCATATTATGGCAAGAACAGCTCAAATAAGCAAAGAGAAATTACAGTCCATCATTACTTTAAGACATGAAGGTCAGTCAATCCAGTAAATTTCAAGAACTTTGAATGTTTCTTCAAGTGCAGTCGCAAAGACCATCAAGCGCTATGACGAAACTGGCTCTCATGAGGACGGCCACAGGAAAGGAAGACCCAGAGTTACCTCTGCTGCAGAGGATAGGTTCATTAGAGTTAACTGCACCTCAAATTTGCAGCCCAAATAAATGCTTCACAGAGTTCAAGTAACAGACACATCTCAACATCAACTGTTCAGAGAAGACTGCGTGAATCAGGCCTTCATTGTCGAATTGCTGCAAAGAAACCACTACTAAAGGACACCAATAATAAGAAGAGACTTGCTTGGGCCAAGAAACACAAGCAATGGACATTAGACTGGTGGAAATCTGTCCTTTGGTCTGATGAGTCCAAATTTGAGATTTTTGGTTCCAACTGCCGTGTCAAATCAAATCAAATCAAATTGTATTGGTCACATGCGCCGAATACAACAGGTGCAGACATTACAGTGAAATGCTTACTTACAGCCCTTAACCAACAGTGCATTTATTTTTAACAAAAAAAGTAAAAATAAAACAACAACAAAAAAAGTGTTCAGAAAAAAAGAGCAGAAGTAAAATAAAATAACAGTAGGGAGGGTATATATACAGGGGGGTACCGTTGCAGAGTCAATGTGCGGGGGCACCTGCTAGTTGAGGTAGTTGAGGTAATATGTACATGTGGGTAGAGTTAAAGTGACTATGCATAAAGTCTTTGTGAGACGCAGAGTAGGTGAACGGATGATCTCCGCATGTATGGTTCCCACCGTGAAGCATGGAGGAGGAGGTGTGATGGTGTGTGGGTGCTTTGCTGGTGACACTGTCAGTGATTTATTTAGAATTCAAGGCACACTTAACCGGCATGGCTACCGCAGCATTCTGCAGCGATACGCAATCCCATCTGGTTTGCACTTAGTGGGACTATCATTTGTTTTTCAACAGGACAATGACCAAAAACACACCTCCAGGCTGTGTAAGGGCTATGTGACCAAGATCACCCGACCTCAACCCAATCACCCGACCTCAACCCAATTGAGATGGTTTGGGATGAGTTGGACCGCAGAGTGACGGAATAGCAGCCAACAAGTGCTCAGCATATGTGGGAACTCCTTCAAGACTGATGGAAAAGCATTCCAGGTGAAGCTGGTTGAGAGAATGCCAAGAGTGTGCAAAGCTGTCATCAAGGCAAAGGGTGGCTGCTTTGAAGAATTTGTTTAACACTTTTTTGGTTACTACATGATTCCATATGTGTTATTTCATAGTTTTGATGTCTTCACTATTATTCTACAATGTAGAAAATAGTAAAAATAAAGAAAAACCCTTGAATGAGTAGGTTTGTCCAAACTTTTGACTGGTACTGTACTTCTTACACAAAGATCTGCTTGCCTCTCCTAAGGGAGCCAAGCTTACTTGAGAGATGAGGGATACTTGGCTCCACTTCCTTAAAGCATTGTACACAAGTTCTCACAGCCTACATGTCTAAGAGAGGGGAGTGATGAGTTCTTTAAAGCCTATTCAGCTGCAAGAAGATTTAAATCTTGAGCTAGACCTCTGGTGCCCGAAGAGAAAAGGAGCCAGTAGCAAATCACTCCTGTGAGAAGAGGAAAACTAAACAGTCATGGAAAATTACCAGTTGAATAGCACTATACAACTCAACCATTTTACATAGCATTTAGACTGTAACAAAACCATTTTACATAGCATTTAGACTCTAACAAATCCATTTTACATAGTATTTAGACTAACGAAACCATTTTTGCCCCAACACAGCATTATGGACATTTCATTTGGAAATGACTAACATTTTGTGCATGCGCAGGTTGACTTTTCCACTGAATCGCCCTAATGCCTTCATCCTATCATCTAGGTGTCCTTTGAGATTGCCATCAAGTCCGAGAAGTGTCCGCCTCAAGGCAAGTCCGAGACCATTACAATCAAGCCGCTGGGTTTTACTGAGAATGTGGAGATCGTCCTCAACTTCATCTGCGAATGTGAATGTTCCAAAGATGGAAAACCTCTCAGCGAGATGTGCCATAATGGCAATGGGACCTTTGAATGTGGAGCCTGCAGGTACAATATAAAAACAGTTGGTTTGGTTCTACTTTTTTGGGTGTGAATTGATTGTAGAAATGTTGTTCTGAAACTATATGCTGAGTGCATGTTTGCGTCCCAAATGGCACCCTATTCCCTATATAGTGCGATACTTTTGACCAGAGCCCTATGGGCTAAGTCTCTTGCTTTCGCTCAGGTGCAACAAGGGCCGTATTGGAAGACTGTGTGAGTGCAGTACAGACGAGGTGAGGACAGATGACCTGGACGCTAACTGCCGGAAGGACAACGGCACAGACATCTGCAGCAACAACGGAAACTGTGTGTGTGGAACCTGTGAGTGTAAAAAGAGAGAGAACCCAGAAGAACGTTACAGTGGGAAGTTCTGCGAGTGTGACAACTTCAACTGTGACCGCTCTAACAACAAACTCTGTGGAGGTAGGACCCGTGGCTGGCCCCCTTGGTTTGAGTACATGTACAGTGGGGGAAAAAAGTATTTAGTCAGCAACCAATTGTGCAAGTTCTCCCACTTAAAAAGATGAGAGAGGCCTGTAATTTTCATCATAGGTACACGTCAACTATGACAGACAAATTGAGAATTTTTTTCTCCACAAAATCACATTGTAGGATTTTTTATGAATTTACTTGCAAATTATGGTGGAAAATAAGTATTTGGTCACCTACAAACAAGCAAGATTTCTGGCTCTCACAGACCTGTAACTTCTTCTTTAAGAGGCTCCTCTGTCCTCCACTCGTTACCTGTATTAATGGCACCTGTTTGAACTTGTTATCAGTATAAAAGACACCTGTCCACAACCTCAAACAGTCACACTCCAAACTCCACTATGGCCAAGACCAAAGAGCTGTCAAAGGACACCAGAAACAAAATTGTAGACCTGCACCAGGCTGGGAAGACTGAATCTGCAATAGGTAAGCAGCTTGGTTTGAAGAAATCAACTGTGGAAGCAATTATTAGGAAATGGAAGACATACAAGACCACTGATAATCTCCCTCGATCTGGGGCTCCACGCAAGATCTCACCCCGTGGGGTCAAAATTATCACAAGAACGGTGAGCAAAAATCCCAGAACCACACGGGGGGACCTAGTGAATGACCTGCAGAGAGCTGGGACCAAAGTAACAAAGCCTACCATCAGTAACACACTACGCCGCCAGGGACTCAAATCCTGCAGTGCAAGACGTGTCCCCCTGCTTAAGCCAGTACATGTCCAGGCCCGTCTGAAGTTTGCTAGAGTGCATTTGGATGATCCAGAAGAGGATTGGGAGAATGTCATATGGTCAGATGAAACCAAAATATAACTTTTTGGTAAAAACTCAACTCGTCGTGTTTGGAGGACAAAGAATGCTGAGTTGCATCCAAAGAACACCATACCTACTGTGAAGCATGGGGGTGGAAACATCATGCTTTGGGGCTGTTTTTCTGCAAAGGGACCAGGACGACTGATCCGTGTAAAGGAAAGAATGAATGGGGCCATGTATCGTGACATTTTGAGTGAAAACCTCCTTCCATCAGCAAGGGCATTGAAGATGAAACGTGGCTGGGTCTTTCAGCATGACAATGATCCCAAACACACCACCCGGGCAACGAAGGAGTGGCTTCGTAAGAAGCATTTCAAGGTCCTGGAGTGGCCTAGCCAGTCTCCAGATCTCAACCCCATAGAAAATCTTTGGAGGGAGTTGAAAGTCCGTGTTGCCCAGATACAGTCCCAAAACATCACTGCTCTAGAGGAGATCTGCATGGAGGAATGGGCCAAAATACCTGCAACAGTGTGTGAAAACCTTGTGAAGACTTACAGAAAACGTTTGACCTGTGTCATTGCCAACAAAGGGTATATAACAAAGTATTGAGAAACTTTTGTTATTGACCAAATACTTATTTTCCACCATAATTTGCAAATAAATTCATAAAAAAATCCTACAATGTGATTTTCTGGATTTTTTTCCTCATTTTGTCTGTCATAGTTGACGTGTACCTATGATGAAAATTACAGGCCTCTCTCATCTTGTTAAGTGGGAGAACTTGCACAATTGGTGGCTGACTAAATACTTTTTTCCCCCACTGTATACAAGTTTTCATTGACACATTGTGTTCATTCGACACTGCTGCGTACTGTAGCATTACCACACCCATTATGAGTAGCCTAATCGATAGAATAAACAACTGAAAGAACGTGTTTTAAAATGTGCAGCATGGATCCTCCATTTTCTCCACCCCTTTCCTCAGACATGGTCTGAAAGAATTTGTTTTAGATTGGGTGATTCTTCAAAATTGTTGGTTGAGTTGTGTAGGCCTAGCATTGATTGAACCTCTTATTTTCTCCCCCCCTTCCCTCTACTAGGACATGGGCGTTGTGAGTGCAGGGTGTGTATCTGTGATGCCAACTACACGGGCAGCGCCTGCGACTGTTCCCTGGACACTGCCACCTGCCTAGCAGCCAACAAGCAGATATGTAATGGCCGTGGCACCTGCGAGTGTGGCGTCTGCAAGTGCACCAACCCCAAGTTCCAGGGTCCCACCTGTGAGATCTGTCCCACCTGCCCCGGAGTCTGCGCTGAGCACAAGTGAGCCTGAGAACTCAGGGTGTTCAAACACTCTTTTAGTTTGTTTGTGCGATCTGTTTTTAGGTATTTTGTATGGTCTATATTTGTATCATGTTACCCCTGGTTGCAGACCAAATTTACCTCTGGGACAATAAAGTTTGTTTGATTGATGATTGTCCTCTACAGGGAGTGTGTTCAGTGCCGGGCCTTTGAGACAGGAGAGAAGAAGGACACGTGTGAGAGGGACTGCAGCTACTTCAACCTGATCATAGTGAAGGACCGGGACAAGCTGCCCCAGCCAGCCGACCAGTCCTACCCCCTATCCCACTGTAAGGAGAGGGACGCCAACGACTGCTGGTTCTACTACACCTACGCCGTCAGGAACGACACAGAGAGGGAGGTCTATGTGGTCGAGACTCTGGGTGAGTGGATGGATGTTGCTGCTCAACTCTCTGAAAGAAACAAATATCTTTGATTATCCTTTTTAGGAATAACCTGCCCTAATGTCTCCACGTCTGTATAGCCTTTTACAGGCTGTGTTGCTAATGGCACCTTTTGACCTGGGCCCTATGGTCTCTGGTTAAAGTAGTGCACTACCAAAGGAAGTCGTGCACTACAAAGGGAATAAGATGCCATTAGGGAGACAACCACAGTGTAGGCCTATGTCCATTGTATATGATTAACTATAAATGCAGAATGTTGCCATTTACTCTACGTGTGTGTGTGCCCTTCTGTGCTCCAGAGTGCCCAGCGGGCCCTGACATCATCCCTATCGTGGCTGGCGTCGTGGCGGGCATCGTGCTGATCGGCCTGGCGCTCCTCCTCATCTGGAAGCTGCTCATGATCATCCACGACCGCAGGGAGTTTGCCAAGTTCGAGAAGGAGAAAATGAACGCCAAGTGGGACACGGTAAGGTGGATCACACCAGCACACTGTCGGATCACACCAGCACACCTGCTTTCAGAAAATAATTGGGACTAGCGGTGGATGCTTTTTATTGTTTACATTGCAGATATCTGGGCCTGTATTCATAAAGCGTCTCAGAGCAGAACTGCTTAACTAGGATCAGGTCCCCCCTGTCCATATAGTCTAATTAATTGTGATATAAAAGTCAAAACTGATCCTAATCAGCACTCCTACTCTGAGAATCTTGATGCATACAGCCCCTGCTCTACTCTTGAAATGTGCGATATCTTTGATGTGCTATAGGGTTAACTAATTTCTATATATAACCAGATAAAAGGGGGGAGCTTCTATTGAAGCTTACTGTTTCTGATTTCAGAGCTCATTCATCCAGCATCCTTTTTACTGCTAGGCTGCCTCCCTCAAGAGATGCACTTCAGTGCCTTTGAAGGCCAGAGAGAGATCTGTGTGAATACCAACCGTTATATTTGTGCCTTGGTTATATCTTTGGCTCAATCTCCCCTTTCCTTTCTGTTCTGTGCCAACAACGGCAGCACAGAAACCTGGCTCTGGCATGCTGCTCAGGCTGAGACAGACTTTATTCACGTTTCCTCTATGGGCCTTTCCCTGTCTAGGCTAGGGTAGCAGTGCTTCCACCATCTGTCCACTCATCAGTACTACATGCCCATAATAGGCAATAAAGCTGAGGTTACCAACAGAAACTCAATCCAGCTGCTCAGTGTGCTCTGAAGTCATAGCAACAGTACTCCATGTTCATAGTAGAATGACAGAACACTTGTGTGCTGAGAGAGAATATAGCCTCTGGTTGAGTCCCAAATGGCACACTATGCCCTATAGAGTGCACTACTTTTGAACAGAGCCCTGTGGGCCCTGGTCAAAAGTTGTGGTAGTGCACTATAAAGGGAATAGGGTGCTATTTGGGAATAGGGTGCTATTTGGGACAGAACCTCAGTCTCAAGGGCATGGCTTTTGCTAACCATTTGGGTTGGATATGTTTGTATTCTGAGTGATGGATATACACTATTTAGTAGGCTAAGCCTTTCTTTTTTTATACTTGGATTTTATTATACTTTTTCAAAACAGTTCAACAAAAACAGTAAAAACTAAATAATAAATCAAAACAAACAGAAGTTGCCATCCAATAGGTACAGAATAATATATAAGGTAAGTATACAGAGAAGTGATGTTGCATTGTTAAAAATATATTAGTTAATCAAGTCTTCCTGACTTTCAAATACAGGTTTCCATATTAAACATTTATTGGATTATACTTAGCCATTCTTAAAATGTTGGGGCTTCTACTTTATACCAGTTCCTGGTAATGGTGGCTAAGCATTTCTGCTTTGTGGTCCTATAAGGCTAAGTTTGTATTGCCCATCTTTCTTTTCCCTTTTTCCTGCATGTACTTTACATTCCCTTTGGAGTGTTTTGTGCTTGAGTTTTGCATCTTTTCCACACCCGTTTTCACTCATATTTTCATTCTCTTCTTCAAAGCAAAAGCTGTAAGTGAACCTGCTTTCTCATTTCTGTATTGAGTTTAAGGTTTCTGGTACTGCCTGAGGCAAACTGAAGAACACATTTGTCTAAGAAATTAACTTTGAATAAAACAAGATATACAAAAAAAAACAACGGTGGTCTATAGCATTGGGGCGACCACACCAACATCTATTAAATGCACACTGCCTTTTTTAAATGGGTTAAGGTTTAACATGTATTTCACTGCATGTTGTTGTGTGTGCCATTAACGTGCTAGATTATAGGACAGGTGACTGCTTTGTTCGCAAAGTCCCTGTTAAAATGTCGAAAATCTTATTGTCCAAACCATGGAGCGGCTGCTCTGGATCTGAATTTATTTTAACCAAACTGTGATTTGTGAAGTGGCGCTAACCGAATTATTCTCTTTTTGGGCTACATTCCAAATGGCACCCTATTCATTCCCCTATGGGCCCTGGTCAAAGGTAGAGCACTACAGTGGGGGGAAAAAAGTATTTGGTCAGCCACCAATTGTGCAAGTTCTCCCACTTAAAAAGATGAGAGAGGCCTGTAATTTTCATTATAGGTACACGTCAACTATGACAGACAAATTGAGAATTTTTTTTCCAGAAAATCACATTGTAGGATTTTTTATGAATTTATTTGCAAATTATGGTGGAAAATAAGTATTTGGTCACCTACAAACAAGCAAGATTTCTGGCTCTCACAGACCTGTAACTTCTTCTTTAAGAGGCTCCTCTGTCCTCCACTCGTTACCTGTATTAATGGCACCTGTTTGAACTTGTTATCAGTATAAAAGACACCTGTCCACAACCTCAAACAGTCACACTCCAAACTCCACTATGGCCAAGACCAAAGAGCTGTCAACGGACACCAGAAACAAAATTGTAGACCTGCACCAGGCTGGGAAGACTGAATCTGCAATAGGTAAGCAGCTTGGTTTGAAGAAATCAACTGTGGGAGCAATTATTAGGAAATGGAAGACATACAAGACCACTGATAATCTCCCTCGATCTGGGGCTCCACGCAAGATCTCACCCCGTGGGGTCAAAATGATCACAAGAATGGTGAGCAAAAATCCCAGAACCACACAGGGGGACCTAGTGAATGACCTGCAGAGAGCTGGGACCAAAGTAACAAAGCCTACCATCAGTAACACACTACGCCGCCAGGGACTCAAATCCTGCAGTGCCAGACGTGTCCCCCTGCTTAAGCCAGTACATGTCCAGGCCCGTCTGAAGATTGCTAGAGTGCATTTGGATGATCCAGAAGAGGATTGGGAGAATGTCAGATGAAACCAAAATATAACTTTTTGGTAAAAACTCAACTCGTCGTGTTTGGAGGACAAAGAATGCTGAGTTGCATCCAAAGAACACCATACCTACTGTGAAGCATGGGGGTGGAAACATCATGCTTTGGGGCTGTTTTTCTGCAAAGGGACCAGGACGACTGATCCGTGTAAAGAAAATAATGAATGGGGCTATGTATCGTGAGATTTTGAGTGAAAACCTCCTTCCATCGGCAAGGGCATTGAAGATGAAACGTGGCTGGGTCTTTCAGCATGACAATGATCCCAAACACACCGCCCGGGCAACGAAGGAGTGGCTTCGTAAGAAGCATTTCAAGGTCCTGGAGTGGCCTAGCCAGTCTCCAGATCTCAACCCCATAGAAAATCTTTGGAGGGAGTTGAAAGTCCGTGTTGCCCAGCGACAGCCCCAAAACATCACTATTCTAGAGGAGATCTGCATGGAGGAATGGGCCAAAATACCAGCAACAGTGTGTGAAAACCTTGTGAAGACTTACAGAAAATGTTTGACCTGTGTCATTGCCAACAAAGGGTATATAACAAAGTATTGAGAAACTTTTGTTATTGACCAAATACTTATTTTCCACCATAATTTGCAAATAAATTCATTAAAAATCCTACAATGTGATTTTCTGGAAAAAAAATTCTCATTTTGTCTGTCATAGTTGACGTGTACCTATGATGAAAATTACAGGCCTCTCATCTTTTTAAGTGGGAGAACTTGCACAATTGGTGGCTGACTAAATACTTTTTTCCCCCACTGTATATATGGAAATAGGCTGCCATTTGGGACGAATCCATGGTGACCCTTTGCCTCACTCTCTCTCTTTACTTGTCTTTTGCAGGGCACAAATCCCATCTACAAGAGTGCCGTAACAACTGTTGTCAATCCAAAATACGAGGGCAAATGATGGAGCTTCCTCTGTCATTACAACACTATGCAAAATAATATGGGGGGAGGGTTGTTTTTATGTTTGTAGTTGCCAAATAATAGCAGTGCATTTTGCCACTATTTCAGTATGTTTTACTAACTGCTTTTTTCTATGCATCGTTTGAATTGTACGGTATGTATAAACTTGGGTTTAACTTGTTTGTGGAACTTGAGAGAATATTTTAAAACTGATTACATTTTTGCCACTGGACTGGCAGGGTCATTGAAGGTGTGGTTGTGCCTTTCAAAGAACCGTGGAGCCATTCTTTCTGTTTTGAGGGTGAAATTGGATGTCGATATGGGACAGGATATGTAGCGATAGCTGGCAATTGGGACAGCAATAAATTGTCATGTGTACAGTTTGTAGGCAATAGATTCTGTCTAAGCCATATTTTAGTCACAGAAAAGTTCTGGAAGCAAAGGTATGTTTCTTTTCAATGTATTCTTCAACCTGAACAATCATTTCAATTTGTATTTATTTTTGTCAATATATTTGTGAATCTTTATAAATGAAATGACATCAAGTACAGTAGTGGTATTATGGGCTCCAGGTTTAAATTGTTTTGTTTTGAAGAAAACTCAGGTCCCTATTAAAGTCCTCATTAACAGCAATGCCAAATATGACATAACTCACTGCCTTCTTGTTTTAAGTGTCTTGTTTAACTTACGGAAATGTAATTCTGAATGGGGTTCTGAATGTTTTTTTACTTGATCTATAGCCCCAGCTTGCTTTTTTTACTGTCAAATCATTCTCACCTTAATCCTTTTCTAATTAGATGGTTTGATCAAACTCATCTTCCATTGAATAATGGTGATTACATTTCAGTTATAAACATCAGTGTGAATGACGTCAGTCAGATCTTCGTAAAATTTCAAACATCAACACAAACGCCACGCTCTTTGTTTTTAAAGGGTATTTTTATTTAATCACATTCACATTTTACAAAACTTTATTTCTGAAATGATATATTAAATAAAGTTCCAAAACAAATTACCCTAACATTGTTACATGCTGCATGTGTGTGTTAATTATTGTTTAATGTGTCCTTGCTTTATCTTACTGTTAGAGAGATGCCAGTGGAATGTATCGAAGGTTACAATGTCCAGGGAATATCCAGGGAATCCAGCTTTCAACTCACTGCTCATCTTATGCTACCCACATGTTTTCTACAGTTAAAGGTTTAATGCAGCTGTTTTTATCTCAATATCAAATCATTTCTGGTTAACAATTATGTGATTGTTTTCAATTAAAAGAATCAAAAAGAAACAAAAATAGCTTCTTAGCGAAGAGCAATTTCTCAAACAATAACTTTTATAGTCTGGGAGTGGTCTGAGTGGGGAGGGGAAGAGAGGTTTGGAACTCTCTTTCTTATTGATCTATTAACTATACTGAACTAAAATATAAATGCAACATGTAAAGTGTTGGTCCCATGTTTCATGAGCTGATATAAAAGATCCCAGAAATGTTCCATACTTTTCCAGCTTATTTCTTTAAAACAATTTGCACAAATGTGTTTACATCCCTGTTAGTGAGCATTTCTCATTTTCCAAGATAATCCATCCACCTGACAGGTGTGGCATATCAAGCGGCTGATTAAACAGCATGATCATCACACAGGTGCACCTTGTGCTGGGGACAATAAAAGGCCACTCTAAAATGTGCAGTTTTGTCACACAACACAATGCCACAGATGTCATACATTTTGAGGGAGTGTGTAATTGGCATGCTGACTGCAGGAATGTCCACCAGAGCTGTTGCCAGAGAATGTAATGTTAATTTCTCTATCATAAACGACCTCCAACATTGTTTTAGAGAATTTGGCAGTAAGTCCAACCGGCCTCACAACCGCAGACCATGTGTAACCACGCCAACCCAGGACCTCCACATCCGGCTTCTTCACCTGCGGGATCGTCTGAGACCAGCCACCCAGACAGCTGGTGAAACTGTGGGTTTGCACAACTGAAGAATTTCTGCACAAACTGTCAGAAACCGTCTCTGGAAAGCTCATCTGCGTGCTTGTCGTCCTCACAAGGGTCTTGACCTGACTGCTGTTCGGCGTCGTAACCGACTTCAGTGGGCAAATGCTCACCTTCGATGGCCACTGGCACGCTGGAGAAGTGTGCTCTTCACGGTTGAATCCCGGTTTCAACTGTACCGGGCAGATGGCAGACAGCGTGTATGGCGTCGTGTGGGCGAGCGGTTTGCTGATGTCAACGTTGTGAACAGAGTGCCCCATGTTGGCGGTGGGGTAATGGTATGGGCAGGCATAAGCTACGGACAACGAACTCAATTGGATTGTATCGATGGCAATTTGAATGCACAGAGATACTGTGACGAGATCATGAAGCCCATTGTCGTGCCATTCATCCACCATAATGCTTAGCCCCATGTCGCAAGGATCTGTACACAATTACTGGAAACTTAAAATGTCCCAGTTCTTCCATGGCCTGCACACTCACCAGACATTTCACCCATTGAGCATGTTTGGGATGCTCTGGATCAACGTGTACGACAGCGTGTTCCAGTTCCCGCAAATATCCAGCAACTTCGCACAGCCATTGAAGAGGAGTGGGACAACATTCCACAAGCCACAATCAACAGCCTGATAAACTCTATGCAAAGGAGATATGTTACGCTGCATGAGGCAAATGGTGGTCACACCAGATACTGACTGGTTTTCGGATCCACGGCCCTACCTTTTTTGAAGGTATCTGTGACCAACAGATGTATATCTGTATTCCCAGTCATGTGAAATCCATAGATTAGGGTCTAGTGAATTTATTTAATTTGACTGAATTCCTTATATGAACTGCAACTCAGTAAAGTCTTAGAAATTGTTGAATGTTGCGTTTATATTTTTGTTCAGTGTAATTTACAGCTAATTTCAAACAGCTCTTACACTAAAAGGGCATTATCATTTTCACAATTTCACAGTATTATTCCAACCTCATAGTGTGGAAATATATACAAAACACAGGAAATCAAGTTTTGGCGTGCACTGGACCTATAAAAGATGCATTTCACCCCTCGTATCCTTGCCAATTCATGCATTTTCCAACTCAGGATAAATCTCAGGATAGTGTCTCATGATCTGAACAACAGAAATACAGCTGCCACTGTTCTCAGATGCCTGCACCTGCAGTCTTGCTGCTGCTGCAATGCCTGAGGACTTGAGTGATGAAGGTTACAGATACTGGCAGTGGTGTAAAGTACTGTAGTAAAAATACTTTAAAGTACTACTTAAGTTGTTTTTTGGGGGAATCTGTACTTTACTATTTATATTTTTGACTACTTTTGCTTCACTACATTCCTAAAGAAAATAATGTACTTTTTACTCCATATATTTTCCCTGACACCCAATGCTTAGCAGGACAGGAAAATGGTCCAATTCATGCACTTATCAAGAGAACATAATAATAATAATAATAATAATAATAATATGCCATTTAGCAGACGCTTTTATCCAAAGCGACTTACAGTCGTGCGTGCATACATTTTTGTGTATGGGTGGTCCCGGGGATCGAACCCACTACCTTGGCATCCCTGGTCATCCCTGCTGCCTCTGATCTGGAGGACTCACTAAACACAAATGCTTTGTTTGTAAATTATGTCTGCGTATTGTAGTGTCTGTGAATTTAAAAAACACAAGAAACTATTGAAGTCTCGTTTGCTTAATATAAGGAATTTGAAATTATTTTTTACTTTTGATACTTAAGTCTATTTTTGCAATTACATTTACTTTTTATACTTAAGTATATTTAAAACTGAATACTTTTAGACTTTTAATCAAGTAGTATTTTACTGGGTGACTTTCACTTGAGTCATTTTCTAGTAAGGTATCTTTACTTTTACTCAAGTGTGAAAATGTGATACTTTTTCCACCACTGGATACTGGAGTTGTGTGGCAGCAGCACTGCCACTGCAGCCAGGGAAGGGGAACAAGGCATTCCACAGGATACAGTGGTGCTGAACATTGCTACCAGGAGTTGGCAGCACAGAGTTCTATTAAACTGGGTTTGAGGGACCTGCGTGCCAATGTAGTTTGGGAGAATGCCCAATAGTTGAAATTAGTTTTCAGTTGAAAGTGTTAAGAAATTGTCTCCATTGTGAAAGAGGTCTGACCTCAATGGGTCTTCCTGGTTGAAAAAAAGTTCCATCACATAATAAAATGTTAATCCCAGGTATATTCAGTGATTTATGTGAAGATGCCAAACGGGAAAAGGAAGGGATTTTTTTTCTAATCAATTATATCACGGCAACAGTAGTTATCAGTGTTCACGTCTGATCTGCCAGCCACTAAATGTCAAATCAGGCTAAAGTCGTGCTTCAAATGGCCCCGCCCGTTTTTTGGGCGATTTCAGTCAGGTTGAAAATCGCCCAGAAGTCTCTCATAGCCTGTCATGTAAAATCTATTTTTTTCACATTTCAAAGCTTTCAATACATTCTCTATGGGTGTCTGTGGGCTTGCACTTACGCGCTTTCGTCATACGTGACGTAACGTTGAACGTAACTAAGACAATGGCGGCTAGCAGCGTCTCTATTGCGACCTGCAGTGTGGCGTTATTTTATGTTTTTAATTTGTAGACTTAGTTTACAAACATTCTGCAAACATTCTGCTTTGGACTGATCTTCGGTTTTGGACTGATCTTGTTGATCGTGTACATACCCGCTACGAACGGACTAAATAATGAAAACGCTGCTGGCAGCTGAATCCCAATACAGCTGGGAGACTTGGCTGGATGACAGAGTCCCGGACAGAGAAGTGGAGCCGGCCACCTTCACCCTGGTCAGAGCGGACCGCGATCCTGGTAAGAGAGCGACTCTGTACCCCGACATTGAACTGCTTTCTGTGTCATTGAACCTTACTATTGTTGATAAAACAAGTTTACTGGAGAACGGAGACCAAGTAGAGACTTTTGGACAAGGTGGATAATTGTATAATATAAGGCAGTTTATTCAGAGGTAAAGATATCTGGAATCGCGTGCACGGACCCGTTCGTCAAACTCGTAGGGAGTTTATCAGAAGAGCC